TCTGGCATCCTAGTGGGGAAGGAATCATGGAACCATTTCTTTGCAGCACCTTGCAGGCTTAAGACAGACCTCACCTGTGGACCCCAAGCAAATTGAACCGCATAATTTGTTCATAAGCACCAGGCCATAGTGTAAGCCCTGATTCACTGTGGTTAATATTTTAAAACTAAGATGCCATGTGGCAATGACTAAAAGAGGGAGTAATTAATTCTAGCCTGGCAGCAAGGGAGTGGGAGGGAGGTGGCAGCTCCAGCAGTCTCAGGGGAGGGCCACAGTAATAAACACAAAACTGTCGTTTCCAGGTGGCAAAAAATATAAGGGGAATGGGTGGGTGCAGAAGGATGCTGTGCGACTCCATTTTAGAGCCAACACATCCAACTTCATGAGGATCATACTGTTATTTCAAAAGTAATATCAATAGGCCGGGCACAGTGGCTCACACCTGTAATCCCAGTACTTTGGGAGGCCGAGACAGGCAGATCACATGAGGACAGGAATTCAAGACCAGCCTGGCCAACATGGTGAAACCCTGTCTCTACTAAAAATACAAAAGTCAATCAGGTGTGGTGGCGGGCACCTGTAACCTCGGCTACTCAGGAGGCTGAGGCAGGAAAATAGCTTGAACCCAGGACGCAGAGGTTGCAGTGAGCCGAGATCACACCACTGCACTCCAGCCTGGGCAACAGAGCCAGACTCCATCTCAATAATAATAATATCAATAATGTATCAATGCTGACACCATATCTGGTGGGGGCTCAGAAGCCACTATCAGTGAGTGGCAGATTCTCTCCACCCATCATAGTCTGAAAACAAAAAGTAAAGCTAGACCTAAAAAAACTGAATGAGTGTGACAGAGGTCATTGATGGAAAATGCCCTGGTATAGTTCAGGGAGCATAAATTTTATACAGTGGTTCCAAATGAACCGTTTAAATGGCAAAATCTAAAGTGTTTTATGGAGAAGGAAGAGTAGGGGGACTCGAGTCATTCAAACCTCATTTTAAATCCCACCTTAGATTCCAACTCCAGGTTGTTTTGAACCACTGAGCATGCCATGCCACCTCTATGGCTTTAGACAATAATTGAATTTCAGGCACACATATATGAAATTCACAAACACCCATCATAGGTGATATTTCAGGTAATGTAAGTACTCTGAAGACAAATAAAGTAGGAAGAGCAAAGAGAATGAAGGAGATACTATGTTTAGACAGAGTGGGCATTCATCTAAGAATTTTGGCTTTGAAACACAATTGAATTCTTTCTAGGCCCAAGCCTGTAGCCTTTTTTAAAGTACAAAGGAGACTTAATTTGGTGACTGCAGGCAGGTATACAAGCAGGGAAGAATTATTTCAAAAAGTCATTACAAATTTTGTGTGCTCCCAGGCACTAATTGAGTGCTCTATGCATATGAAGTCATTTGCTGTTCACTCTGCCAAACGCAGTAGGTAATTGCAACATTTCCATTTACAGACGGGAAAACTGGGGTTCCAAGGAGTTACAAGGAATATGCCCAGAATATGGAATATGACCATGCTAGTCAGTGGGGTGGCCATCCCTGGAACCTGCGTAGCCCTCAAAGCTTCTGTGCTACTTCACAATGTCCCATGAGCCTTCCCTAAGTAAAGGAACAGCGGAGGACAAGACAGGGTAGAGCCTTCTGATTTCGGGAAGGCAGCAGCAGGAACCCAAGGGGACTTTCGGGAACCTGACTGTATTCAGTAGCTCTTGCTGTGTAACACTATTACCGTAACCCTAGTGGCTTAAAGCAACACACATTTCTTACCTCACAGTTTCCGGGGATCACAAGTCTGGGCCCAAACGGCAGGGCGCTCTGCTCAGTGTCTCACAAGGCTGCTGTGCGGGGCTCAGCTGGGGCACATTTTCATCTGCAGCTTTCTCCACTTCCAAGCTCATTCAGGTCGTTGACAGAATTCAGTTCCTTGCATCGCAGGACTGAGGGCCCTGTTTCCTGGCTGGCTGTCATCCAGGGATCACACTCAGTCCCTCATCGTCTGACCCCCTCGGGGGCCACTCACCACATGACAGCTAACTTCAAGTCCAGCAGGAGAATCTCTCCCTTCAGGAAGGGCCAGTCCTTCTTTTAAGGGCTTCATCTAATTAAGTCAGGCCCGGCCCAGGCAATCTTCTTTTTTACTTACCTCAAAATCAAGTGATTAGAAGTCTTAATTATACATGCAGGATCCATTTACATTTTCCACATATTGTAACTAATCCCAGAATGGCATCCTATCATGCTCACAGGTGCCCCCCATGCTCAAGAGAAGGAGATTATAAAGAACTTGGGCACCACGGCACAGAAATGCTAGGAGTCATTTCAACATGGCACCCTCCACGCCAGGAAAGCATGATCCTGCTTCCTTCAGCCATCCTCCACGCCTCCCCCAAAGGCTGCACGTGTTCCTGCCCTACGAAGAGGCTTGGTCCACATCACACAGCCAGAGGCCTCCCAAATGAACGTTTCTTAGCAGCCAGGCCTTGTTCTGAACTGGGTAATTGTGATGTTTGCAGGCCCATCCACCTGCCTGAGTTGGGGCCTGCATTCATTGTTCTGATCTTGATTGCCTCATTCTACAATCATCCCTCCAGAGGAGGCTAGGCTTGCAGAGCCCTGGAAGAGCAGGCAGGGGGCTCTGGAGCACTCAGTCTTTCCGCGTTTGCCATTAGCGACCTGGGGAGTGATGTCAATGGCTTCAATTGCTCCGTGGAGCCAGCAATCACAGCGGGCTTTGGGGGTCCCTGACATGAGCTGGAGAAAAGCCTCTGCGAAGCAGCTGCCAGGGTAATGGAAATGCCCTGCGGCCTACTGAGCTTCCACGGAGCCAGGCAAGAGTCTCGGGCTGCGTGCCCTGCTCTAGAGAGGCCCAGTGTGAACTGCAGGGCCGACATGGGCTTTCCTGACAAAGCTGTTCTTGTGCCGAAGAGAACAGCAGAGGCCTTGGCTGGGAAGGCAGGAATCAGGATGGGAGGGCAGGGTGGGTGCAGTGGAGGGAGTGAGGGCAGCATCTGTGTTCTGTGATTCACAGGCAACCTGGCAGTATCTCCTGAGCCTCAGAGCACGTGGGGTTGGCTCCACACCACAGCTCCTCTTCAACCTCATCTTCCTCATCACACACAGTCGCAGCTCACAGCATCCATCAATTCCCCCTCCCTCTTTCTGCCACTCCCCAAGTATTTACTGCACACCTATTACAGGCCTAGTGCTGCTCCGGGCACTGAGAAAACAGGGGTGAACATGCCAGGCAATATTTCCTCTCAGGCTGATTACCTTTTAGGGAAGGGGCAGACATCAAACAGACAGATGGACAAGAAAAATATCAGATGGGGATGGTGGCTAAGCAGGAGATTGAAATAGGGTGAGGTGGTCGTGAGAGACGGGTCAGGGAAGGTCTCTCCAAGGAGGAGGTGTTTAAGCTGAGGCCTGATGACATGAACAGCCAGTCACGAGATGGTGTGGACAGGCGTTGCAGACAGTCCATGCCAAGCCTGAAGCCGGGGCAAGGTGGGTGCTTTCCAGATACAGCAATAGGCTGATGCTGTCGGAGGGAAGCGCAGAGGAAAGTGAAGTATTAGGAGGGAGCCAGGTCAGCCAGGGCCTGGCAGCCTGCAGAGGAGATTGGCTTTTGTTCCACGAGCACTGGGGAGCCCCTGGAATTATAACAGGGAGATTGATATGATCTGATTTATCTTTCTACAAGATGCTCTGGTTTGGAGTGGCGCCTGCGAGGAGGTGACTGCAGTTCCAGAGCATGACTGTGAGTGAAGCAACTGAGACTCAGAGAGGGAGCGTTCCTTACGAGGGGCTCCTGGCTGGACAGGAATGGCCAGTGGGTGAGCACCATGGGGGGCTGCTGGAGAACCTTAACTGCTGTCCCCACAGTCTCCACCTGGAGCAGAAGAGAAGCTGATTCTAAATCTATTCCCTAAATGCAGCAGAATGTGTATGCAAGTGATTCAGTAAGGGAGGAGTCTCAAGTGAAACCTATTTAAGAAAGTGAGGGGGAAAGAATGGAGCAGGAGAAAGGATGTGGTTGCAGCTGGAGACTCCCAGAGGAGCCCTGGGGTATGGATTGCATCATAGTTACTCCTGCCTTGAGACTTGGAGAGGCAGGCTTTGGTAGCCCTGAACAGGTCAGTCATTGGCGAGCACACCGTGGAGGGGTTGGAAACTCCCAGTAGTGGAGGGGACTCCTGTCTGTCAAGGGCAGGGCTCAGGAGAAGTCACAGGTGTAAACTCTGAGACATGTCAAGCCCAGCATCTGGGGAACAGGTACACCTGCCAGTGGAAAGTGCAGGAATCTGGACAGGGCACCTCCAGCATCTGTTATAGTAGCCATGACTTTACTAAGAGAGGACAGGGAGGAGGCCTAGACTAAGAAAGTGTCCTGCTACAAGAAAGCATAGGACCCACATTTCTAAGAGTAAATGAGTTAACATAGGAGGCCTATTACGGGAGGAACCTCTCATTGCCTACAGATGCTCTCCAAATAATCAGTTCCCACTGTGCACTTAAAATACGAATCAATTTATGGATGTTCCATTCATCCAGCTTCCCAGGAATAAATTCACTGCATTCTGGAAGGTTGTATCTAAATATTCATTTAGCCAGCATAAAAGGAGATTAGGATTAAGTGCACTTAACCAGTACATTAGAATCTTCCACCAAAGATATCTGATCCTGTTTCTGAGAATAAATGGAGAATAAACAGGGCCTATTAGCAAGGAATGGCTCTTCCTGTCCACTGCTCTGTGATTGCAGAGAAAAAACCAGTAGCTGAGAAGTAGGACGGCCTAACAGCTGCTTCTGTGATGGCCACAGCTTTACTTAGAGACACTGGCTTTACCATTCAACTATGTAGCTCTTTAGAATGTAAATCCGTGTTGTCCAAATGTTGCCTGCACATCAGAATGCCCTGGGATCTTCTAAAAATCCTGAAGCCCAGACTGTATCTTGAACCAACTGAATTACAATCTCTGGGAGTACTTTTTAAATAAACTTTTTATTTTGGAATATTTTTAGATTTACAGAAACGTTGCAACAGTAGTATACCTCTCACCAAATTTCCCCCATTGTTAAAACCTAACATTATCATGATATGTTGGTTACAACCAAGAAACCGACATGAGTACATCACTCCTGGCTCCAGACTTGACTTGGATTTCATCAGCTTTTCAATTGGTGTTTCTTTCTTGTTCCAGGACCAATCTGGAACACCACAGTGCATCTCATTGTCATATCCACCCTGTCTTCTTTAGTTTGTGACGGTTTACCAGTCTTTCTTTGTTGTCCATGGCCTTGACAGTCTTAAGGAGCGTTGACCAGGGATCCTGTGGACTGTTCTCCAATCTGGGTGTGTCTATTGTTGTTCCTGTACAAGACTAGGGTTGTTAGATTTGGGTTATGGTTTTTGGAAAGAATACAGCTAAGGCAACGTGGCCTACTTGTCATTTCATGTCAGGGGACACAGTGGATCCATATGACATCACTGGTAATATTACACTTTGTTATTTGGTGAAGGTCATATTGGCCAGGTCTCTCCACTATAAAGTTAGTATTTTTCCTTTTCCCAACTCTAAAATCTTTGACTGAGTCTGGCTCAACCTCAAAGTATGGTGTGTGTAGAGGTGGGTGGAAATCAGTCAGAAATCTATGAGGTACATTTTCATGGCCACCACACTGTCCTCATCAATTTGCCTTAGTTCTCAATCACTGTTTGCAAACTTTGTCAAATGATCTAGGACTTTGCATACCTCCAGTTCCCCTGGGATTGAGCCAGCACTTCCTGGCCCTTACCTTGGGTGAGTTATTTAGTTTTGTCTGAGCCTCAGTTTCCTCCTCTGAGAAATGGGCATTGGTCAAATATCTATTTCTAGGAGTTATTACCAAGATTAAATTAGATAATGCCTAATAAGGTTTTGACTATGGTGCAAACATTCACCAAATGTTCACTATCAATTTTGTTAATAATAATGGTAGTAATAATTGCCTTCTTTATTCTGACCTTGTGTATCTGATATCTAGGGTCACAATAATGCACTTCAGTGACATAAAATAGTAAGTTAGAACTTACATTTTGGAAAAAGAAACATATAAAACTAAATCCACTGAGTTTATTAAAGAAACATTTACTTAGCACTTACTATATACCCGACATTGTTCAAATCGTTTTATAACTATTAACCCATTGCATCTTCATAAAAAGAATTCAAGGTAGGAACTATTATCACTATTTTACACATTAGGAAACCGAGGCACAGTGAGGTTAGGCAACTTACCTAAAGGCACACAGCCAGTGAGTGGCAGAGCCAAGATTTGAGTGTAGGCAGTTCGACTTCAGAGTCCACACTTGTAACCACTACACGATGCTATGTGGTATAAACAAGAAGTATAAACTGTGTGAGACTGTGTGAAAGGTGGCTGGGTCTCATCAGGAGACGGAAGCCAGTGAAAAATAACATATGCTAAATCTTTTTTTTTTTTTTTTTTT